AAATCTGTTGGTTTTTAAAAAAAAAAAAAATCTGGAAAAAAATTACGTCCTATTCATCCGCTTCAGCATAAATTAGATGTGATTTCAAGTTGCTTTGTTTGCAAATTTGCAAGGGAATAGATGTCAAAAAGTCAAAACGGGGATGGTTTAAGAGCGCTGGGAGAAGAGCAGGTATTGGGCAGGGGGGTGGCAGTCGCTCCCCAGCCCCGAGGAGCGTAACGCCGCAAATTATCGCCTTGGGTACGTGCACAGGGCTTTGGGGGTTGAGGAAAGTGACAGTACACCTTCCTTGCTGCTTTTTTTCCTGGGAAAAAAAAAAACAAAACAACATAATTGACTTGGGTGGGTGGGTAGCCCAGCCGAGCAGGAGCTGCGGGGTTGCCCGGCGGCCACGGGCACGTCGGTGCCGGAGCAGAGGCAACAGTGCAGGGAAGGGGGAGCCCAGTAAAGCCAGCAAAGGAGCTTTGATCTTGAAAATTTTAAAAAAATTTAATTTAAGAAACGGAGCAACACGATGAAAAATAGCAGGGCTTTTTGATTTTTAGATAGAGCGCGTGGGTTCTCACCATCGACCTGAAATTCTTTGCTTTTAGAGAGACATTTTGGACGAGTAGCCAACAGAGTTGTAGGAGACACGGCGAAGCGCCCAGGTCGGCCCCGAAGATGCTGGGGAGCCTGGGGTGCAGGGGGTGGGGTGGGGAGTGTCTCAGCCTTCATCCCCATCCTCATCCTCGAGGGGGAGGAACCCCCAGCGGGTGGGAGAAAGCAGAGGCTCTGGGCGAGAGGGGAACATATGTCCCGCGGTCGCTATACATCGCGCGGGGCGGCAGCTGCGTGCGGGAACACTCCACCGCCAGCGCGACCCACAAACATTTGGCAATCGTTCAGGAAAGGAGCTTAATCTGTTTTCATCTAAGCCCGTTTTTCTCTTGCCTGCAACATCCCCGCGATGATGGGTTTGATACCGGATCGCGGCGTAGCGTGAAGATGGCAGGAAAAAAAAAAAAAAAATTACATCCAGGTTGTCAGCCAAAAAAAAAAAACCCCACAAAAAAAAAATGGCCTTTTTTGAGGTATTTTTCCCTGATCAGTGTTTTCAGAAGCGTTCGGATTAGAGGCATCAAGGCCATTTTCCTTTAATCTGAATTAACGTTCTATTAGTAAAATGCAGCGCTCTGCCATGCTCTAATCTCACCTGTTCATGTAACAAAGGGAAAACAAAACACCTTTTTGTAAATGCCTTTCCTACCTATTAGGTCTGAAACAAACACTGAAGTGAAATTCACGTGAGTTTTCATCTGAAAAGCAAAAAAACTTCAGGTTTGCAAGGGAAGCAACATTTGTTTTTTCCGGGAGGGGTAATATCGTATCCATATGGATATTACTTTGTCATAGTACATGCGTATCTTCTCCCTACCCAGCTTTAATTCTTTGTCTAGTTATTCAAATTTTGGAGGCAGGATTCACTAGTCGATGACTTATTTTACAAATTGCTAGAAAGAAGACAGGCTTGCGTGTAGCAACGAAAAAAGCAAAAACATTGCAGTTGATAAAAAATACAGCTGCATGGCTCGATGTGAAAATGGATTTTGCTCCGTTGCTTTTTTTTTTTTTTCCCCCCCTCTCCCTCCTTTTCTGTGATTGCTTTTAGCTCCAACTCGTAACATTCGACTGGCAAATTCAATACGTTATTAGCTTTGTTTATTACGAAACAAATAAACTGCAAACCGCGTGGGTCTGGGAGTCCAGTAGATGCTCTAATGCAAGAATGTGCCCGCGGGATTTATACAGATGAGCTCAAAGCTTGGCGACGTCTCGCGGCCCGCTGTCCTGCTCCCACCCGAAGATAACCCGTGTACAGACCCGGGAACCCCCCAGCCAAAGACTGGCGAGGACTTTGACAAATGTAACGCTTTGGCTTTTAAATTCATCATTTCTTAGCGGTAAATATTAACTTGGATGCCTGATAATTCCTTGCGTTCCCAAGATCCAGTTTGGAGCGAGGGCGAGCTCCAAAGGCTGGTGTAATCGATGGCATTGTGGTTTGTAAACGTTTTCTCTCTCTCTTTGTTGCAGGCCATTAGCAGTGTGACATGTAGGCTGAACAGGAATAAATGCCCGTTGTTCCTTTTACAAGCATCTCAGAATAACTACATATATATATATATATATTTATCTTTGTTTTCCTCCCCGGAGTGCCCGGTGAGGTGCCCTTAACACAGGACCCACCTCTTTTTTACCTCACAAGAAGGTCTCTGTCCCAGAGCAGACAAAGGAAGGAGCTTTTCGCTGCTTCGAGTTACTTGTTTGTGGTTTTTTTTTTCCTTAACAGAGCGAAGAAACGAGTCTGTGACAGTTAGGGTGAATGTTTTTGAGATGCGTTTTCCCCCCAAAAAAAAGTTAATTTTTGTTGTAGAAAAAGCCGTCTGGAGCGTAGCGCTTGGGTTTAATTTGGTGACGGCGAGATGGGTAGCGTTAATTAGGAGCTCGCTGGGCACACGAGGCTGGGCCCTGGGCCAGGGGCACCCACTCCTGGGGTGGGGGTCTGGGCGGGAGCCTCCGGGGACGCCCCACGTAACCCCGACGGCAGCAGCTCCCTGTTGGGGAGCACCGAGGGGACGGAGCAGCCCCTCGGAGCGCAACTGGTGGCAGGGAGAAGCCTTCGAGCAAAGGCGGGCAGCCTGTAAGGCTGGGACATGTGTTTCCTGCTAATATAATAATACAAGTTTGGGATTTTTTTTCTGTAGAAACCTCTGCATCTTTTTATAGAGAAAAATGTTTGGATGAAAAAACAAAAACAACATAGGGTATGTGTATGTTTTATGCTCCTAAAGTGAATCGTGTTTAATCTGAAATAGTTTGCAAACGCTGTTTTATATACGTTTGTTGGTTGGTTGGTTGTTGGTTTTTTTTTGTTGTTGCTTTTTTTTTTTTTTTTAAGTCAAATGAAATCTAGTAGGCTGGGTATAGGAATTCATACAGCTGATGGCTCTAAGTCTTTCAGACTACCCGACATATGGATAAACCATGCACAGATTTAGCAGGTCTGTCTTTATGTTAAAACGTATACGTGATAAAAATATATGACTGAAGAGAATTTCTGTGGTTAGCACTGTTTCATTCTGAAATGCTCCAAGACATTCAAAAAAATTACATTTATTTTCAGAGGGTATTCACAATGAATCGATAACCCTCTTTTTCCGAGAGTTTTTGCATATATTTCTCTGCCATTATGCAATAGACTCGCAACCATTTTTGCCGGTGCAGGTGTTGTTTATTAAAAGGAGCCTCGTCATTGCAGGTGTATATTAGACATTAGCTGAACGTAAGGATATTGGCAAAAAGTGCCTTCCGCCTGGCATTTTGATATTTTTACGTCTCGGAGAGGTCTGTAAAGGCAGATGCTAGGCTGCACACCAGGAAAGGGTTTCAGCCCCAATCCGTCAGAGCCCATTTGTCCATCCCTCGTCAGCGATTCTCATTTAACGTCTCTGGGAAAAAGAGGAATATAGTTTTCTAGAATCAAAAGTTATCTTTAAATGTTTTTAGAAGTATAGTCAAGGAGTAAGGATGTTTTAATTTCTGATTTTCCAGCTCATGGCTCATATTTGACCAACTGCTTTCAGCAGAAGACATGCCACTTTGTTGAGCTATTTAGGAATCAAAAAGACTGTCTTAATTTAAAACAAGGAGCCTTTGTTTTAGTTGGTGACTGCCTTGTGAAATTTTTCAGTTCTCAGCGGGTTAACCAGGGAACAGGGGCAGAGTCATAATTGGCCTATTTAGAGTATTTTGCATGTGAATAGTGTGTTAGTGAAGCATTACTAAGTCTGTTGTGAGTGACATGGTGATTAGAATTTAGATTAGGGAAAACACATTCTGTACTTTATCAAGTACAGTAATTAGTTCAGTCAGTAAAAGTTGATTACAAGTAACGATAAAGTTAGATTTTTGGTACTTAATTTTAAAATTTCTTTATTAAATGGTAAATTTGTTCTTAATATAAATGGTAGTATCTACACCTGTTTTATTGCGTATCAGAATAATTAAAAGAACAATGTGTTCAATGCAGAGTATAATCAGGGGATTTATATATTATGGGTAAGTTTCGACGTAGTTTATAGCAAATAGAACATTACTCAGGAAATTGTTCTTCTGTCATAGTCTCTCGAAGATTTATAATTTTTCTCATAGCGTGGGTCAGATAATGTTTTCTGCTGTTTCATGGAAACCGTAGTCCTTTCGTGGCTGAGAAAACGCTGCGTTTACTGGGATGCATCTTGTTAGTTAATGGTACAGGCATAAAATGGATATATTGAAAGTCCTTTGCTGCTGCTACTGCTGCTGCTATACAATAGCGTTAATTGTTTTGGGTTTTCCGAGGTGCTTTTTTTTTTTTTCTGATCGCACGGCAGAAATTATTAATAATGTATAATTTTATTTTCACGTTTTAATCACATATTACGTACAGCCTGCTGTGCAGATTTTTATAGTGCAAAACCTGATCTGTTTAATTCACAGAGACGAATTTTCCCTTGCACGGGGATAGACAATGAAGCTGTTTCATGCACACTGAACCAACCGCTCTATCAACAGCAGGAATTATTTTTTTTTTGAGTTTTATTATTGTTAAATCCGTGCACTTAACTATCTTGTTTGCAGCGAAGAAACTAAATTAACCTTCAAATATATTAACAGAGCTCCAAAAGTTTTTAAAACACTGATTGCATTTGAATAAGTAGGCAGTAAGTCTCCTTTAAATGTAAATAATCGTATTTTAAATTAATGACTTGGTGTTTTCCTAGTAAAGGCAAAAGATGCTCCACTGGAAATTTTTTGTACCGTCTCCTTTAAAGATTTGGCAGGTTCTCGTCTCAGTGTTTCAGTTGCTTGTGAAGGTTTCTTTACTGTGTTATTTTTAGGAATGAGAAATAGCTAATGATGAGGAAAGTCGGATTTAACATGCACGCGCACACACGTATATATTTTTAATCTTTTAGCAAAGTCTCCTTGGAGGTGACATGGATATTGGCAACCCAGGAGCGCTCTCCCCCACTAAGCCTGGCTCCCAGTACTATCAGTATTCTAGCAATAACCCCCGGCGGAGGCCTCTCCACAGCACCTCTATGGGTGAGTGACTTTGTGTTCAACCTTTTTTTTTTTTTTTTTTTTTCTTTCCCCCCCCATTTCAACAAATAATCGGGAGTTTGGTGCTGTTTAGCAATACTTTGAAATAAATACAATAAGTGGCCGAGCGTCCGCGTCCGCCGCCGAGACTCTTGGAGGGGTTTATTTAACGTTGGTTGAGCGCTCCTCTCTTTGTCGAATGTGTGAGGAGCCTTAAAAAAAAAAAAAAAAA